AACAATATGCGCATGAGTTGGAATCACGCTACATCCTAGATTCATGATAGAATGGAAATTTTCGTTCGATTGTAGATTTTGTGAAAGTTACACATACGTATGGATCGATGTTGTGGCGAAATTAAAATTTTCAGGAGCTCTAATGTTTCCAGCGCAGGGACACAAAGCCCCCATTGCATAAAAATGACATGTTGTCTCTTAAATATGTAAAGAGGGTGCTCTGTACAATGAGAAAGTTCGTATGTGTGTATACATATGTATATTGTCGTTTAAACAACATTGACTGTAAATTTTTTTGAAGTTTTATTTATGAGAAAATCGATTTTTAAAAAGCTGCAGCATTTTCAAACTTTCATAATTCAATTCATCAATTAAGAGAACTTAGAAAATGCTTGATTTTCTAACTTATAAAAATTCAATTTGATTTTCGTAAAGCATCATTTTCCAAATGAATGGAAAATCAACATTGACTTTCTAATAAAATACGAAAAATCAAATTCGATTTCTAAAATCATTTGAACAATGACTGCTATTGTGTCATTCTTCATTCCCGTATATAAGTCAGTCAATAATGTCGTGCATTCATTATTTTCTCCGGCAGCTGTATAGAGTAGGTAAGTGATCTTTTTTCATTTAGAGCTATCATTCAAATGGTAAATCTTAATAGATTATTATAATTTGTTTCTATATTCTGTTCTCATGCATTAATTGCTCAATAATATCTTTTCTATTTAGATTTGTTTATGTGTAATACTATTTCTGTTATTATCTGGAAATACTAATATTCAATAATATTTATTAGTATTATTATTTAGATTTGCTTATGTTCCATGATGTTTATTTATTATTTTGATGCATTAGTTATCAATGATATTCATTTATTGTTTAGAAGTATTAATTATCATTGATATATCTGTTGAAAATAGAAAGACTTGTTAGATTTTCTATTATTTAATTTACACTGCATGAAATAAAAATAAAAAATGAAATTGAGAACTGATGTGTAAATTTCTAGAAAATGTTCGAATTGCTAAATGAAATACGAATTTCTAGAAAAGTCTATATGAATTCGCATTCGATTTTCAAATTAGAAAATCGAATTTCTTATTTCAATTTTCTTGAATATCAGATTTTCAAGAAAGTAGAAATTCGTTGGTGAATTCATATGGACTTTTCTAGAATATCTTCAGCTATACTTTATAAATAATTTTCTAGTTTACAGTGTGTAATGATGTTGTGATTGTTTCTATATGCATACTGTAATATCGATTACATTATATAACTATATCAAATTATAAGTAAAACGACGCTAAACAGGAAAATTTTAAATTGAATTTGTGCATATTGCTAAGTACTAATGTTTTTCTGTTAAATTTCCTTGCAAAGGATGTATTAAATAGAAGCATTTTATAACAAGTAGCTATAGTAAGATCATCTAACTAAGCTGATAGATTACGTTGCTTCTTTATTTTTAAAACTAACTCCTTAGTCAAGTAAGACCTAGCCGTCTTGATTCAAAGTGCTTTTAATCTTTTTAATAAAATAGCTTATGAAACTGAATTCATTTAAATTGACGTGAAAAAATATGATTTGAAACAAGATATGAGTAAGCTAAGAAAAGAACAATTTTTGTACCGATGAATAATCCAAAAACTTGAACAAACTATTTGGTAGGACAACGATTTGTCTTGATTTGAGTACACATCAAGCAATATTGTTTTTATATGGAAAAGGAATTATTTTGTAAATATTTTTATCATTTTCAAGCTGCAATCAAGTTTTATTGCGCTTGTATTTGAGATTTTATATCTCGATGATTAAAATCAATAACAATCGAATTCAAAATAATGTATAATTCAACTCGAGTATTTACTACATTTTCATTGGCAAACAATTTGTAAAATTATCTCGTAACTCAACTAACTTTAGTAGGCTTGTACATATTATTTTCAGTAAGCGTCAAAGTCAAACACTCTATGGATAGATAAGAATAGAGAATGGAAAGTAATTCTATTGGCTCATAATCACAATCAATAGGAGAACCTACAATAGACTGTTGTGATTCAGGATAAATATATGCATGGTTTTTATTTTAAAACTACAAAACAGTGTTTATTCAAAATAATTTTTTACTTAGTTACAGTTGTTGAAAAATTTTAAAACAGCAGTTCTTACATTAAATCCTGCCATCCATGAATCATCGCAAGAATACGAAATTAAATCACTCTTTTTTATAAACGCAATATCAGGCAACGGTAGTAATGAAAAGTTGTCAAATCCACTGCCCATGTATGGTTATAGGCAAGGTGAGCTTTATTAGCAACATGCATACGCAGAATTCGATAATTACTGTAACTAAAGTCGAAAAATCAATTTGAATTAATTGTTTTATATTTCTAAATTAAAAGCAAACATAAATTAAGTCCGAATTAAACACATCAGTGTCTATCCATATATATACATATCTATATTTATTTCAATGAAAATGAGCTAAAAGTACAATAAAAAGATGAGGAAAAACAACAATATAAAAAAGAAGTTCTCTAAGTTATAATCATAAAAATAACAATGTTTGCTATTTGCTAAGAACTTCTAATAAAATAATGATAAAAAATAGAAGCGTAAAAATCAGATTAGCGTTCTTTCATTAAGAAAGAACTACATTTTATCTCTGAGAAAAATAGAATACTTTAAATTTTTTGCTGTGAGAGAAGATCGAATTTTCCGAGCCACATGTCCAGCTATAGAGAAAATGCTTTCGCTGGGAACTGAAGTTCTCGGTATGGAACCATATCGACGTGCCATTTTGCTCAAGATTGGCAATGAACCCTCATATCTGAGCCAGAAACTTGTAAATGTTAAAGTATCTTTCTTATATGCTACGAAAGTAGACAGTTCTTGTTGTAATACTGAATTGTTGTGCAACATAACAGCTGATACATCATCAGTAAATCCACACTTTTTCCTAAATAACTGTAATTTTTCAAAAAGAGAAGTGTTGTTTGAAGTTTGAGAAGCAATGGCCGGAGTGCTCGAAGCAATAGTGATGGAAGATGAACTATGAATATTTGTATTACTTCGATGGTCATGCTTCTCAATTTTGTTCCATTCGATATTTAGCAATTCTGTTGCTAATATGTTGTCTTGTGGGCTCATCATTATATGGGCTGTTGGGTCCAAATAAGCGCACATCTTAAAGAAAACAAATTAAAACAAAATAATGCGGAGATTTTTAAAAGATTTAAGTGAATATAAGCTCTTTTGTCTTGGATAGATTCCTAATTTTCGCGTGAAGTCAACTGCTTAGTTGTAAGAACTTCTGTAGTTTGAATAAAAGATAGTGTGATGAATTGCTTAAGAGCAGCACGATGATTTTTTTTATTGCCTTTTTTGTTGACTAGCGTTGTATGTCTTACGCTAATAAGTGTGATCGTTGCCATATAAGAGTCAATACCTATCATCAGAACTTTGGTCATGATAAACGTTTTGATAATTGCCTACGAAATAGAAAATCTTCAGACCGTTGAGAATACTAGACATTTATATGTTTGAATCATACCGATGCATTCATTAACTCTATCTAAAAGTAATAGGTACAACAATATTCATTTTTTCCAACAAAAAATTGTTGACATTAGCATTGTCCAATACGATCTGTATTTAAATCTTTTATCTTAAAATAGTTAAATCAATAACATGTGAGTGTTTCGTTGAATTAGTGTCGAATAAAATATTATTATTAACAACTTACCAATAGAAGTTTATGTTCTTCGGAGCTAATAGAATGTTCCATATAAAATTTAAATTTATTCTTTAGTTCACTTTTAATAACTTGTTCCATATGACTGTTACTTTTAGTATTTAAATAATATCGAATTGAGTCGAGAATAGGATAACGTAAAGCGAAAGATGGATAGCTGCTACCGGATAACATTTCAGATGCATCTGCAAAAACCGAAAGACATTCAGACAATGTACTAAGAATGTTCCATTCTTCATCGGTGGGTTGCAAATTCATTAATAAATTTCGCTTCTTGGCTGAAACACTTTTGTTTGATAATAATTCATCCATAAAGATAGGTAAAATTGATTTATATTTAAGAAAATGAGATAACATTTTGTAAGTACTATTCCATCTAATAATCATATCAACAACTAAATCCACCTTGACCTCTGGTCGTGCCAACGTTTGAATTGTTTCATATAGGATGCTAGATTTGTTAATCATATTTACTAGTTTTCGACATCTAGCCAGAAGAGCATCAACATGTTCAATGATGAAACCTTGACTCGATGATGGTTCACTACTTTCATCTGTTTCGTCATCAGATGAAATGACATCTGCCTCGTCTCTTGGAAATTCATAACAATCTTCGTTGTCAGATTCAATTTCTTGTGTAGCAAAATTCGAGGCTGCAGCATTGTTAGAATCTTCAACTGCTTGCATCGTTTCATCTAATACTTCTTCTTCTTCCTCGTCCTCGTCCTGCTCATCAACATCATTTTCATATTTTTCTTCTTCTTGTTGACCTTCTTCTTCTTGTGTATTTTCTTCTTGTTGTTCTTCATTAGTTGCCAATGTGTTGAATACTCTTCGAACAATAGAAAAACAATTGGATATTTCTAATGAGTAAAGCAAATTTCAACTTAGGAAATATGCACGAAAACATCATCGATTATTGGAGTACTTCAAATGAAGGAAATCAATGTTTTTTAATTTTCCTAGAGTTCAAGAAACTATTTTTCCAACATATTTTTAGCAATTTTGCTAGCACTTGTAAAATGTTTCAATTGACTTTATCTCCGTTTTCTAAACAAGAAAGTGCCGTTATATGCATTGCTTTTATCAAAAATTATTCGAAAAAAGTGTCCATTCGCTCAATTTCGACAGTGGGTGTTTGCATTTGTATGAGAAGACACTACTGGTTTGTTCTTTATGAAACGTTTTTTTTAAATTTAACTGATTGTTACATACTCATTTTGACTTATCCTGGATCACACTAACTTTTTAAGCGATCGTTTTTTTTATAAACAAAAAATGCTAATTAGTTTTGTTATTGGTCGTATATATATATATATATATATATTATTGTTAACAATATGTAAAACATCTCATTAAAATAAAACTTTACTGCATACAAAGGCATTTTCTTGCTACAACATTTGAATTTATCGAAATTAGTCAAAGATTTTTGTATAAAGTATGTTTTTACCTCTTGGAAATACCAGTACCCTTTTGATTTTCACGTTTTCTTTCCCATAAACCAAGTCCTTTCTTTACGGTCAAATTCAATCCATGAGCTGTACAATATAATCGCATCCCAAATATGTGGCGTTGTTGAGTTGCTAAACGAATATCACTACCATTGTCACTAGTTGTTGCGATGATCTTCGACTGAAGGCCAAATCTAAATAGTGAGAAAGCATTAAGACGCTCTGTTGAGATGCATTAGTAATTACGTCAGATGGTACAAAGTGGTATTTTCATATACGCGATTTTTTACCTAGTTCTTGATTCCCACAAGATTCTACCATATAATCGTAAACTCTTATCTTTGATATATCATGAACATTGGAATCGTGCACTATTACCTAATTTTTGAATAATAATCAATAACGATAAAGCTTTTTGAGTAGCTTCCTCGTCAAATTCACCTAGAAATCATTTATCATAGGACTAATAAGAATACTGGTGAATTTTGACTCCAGAACTCTATTCAGCAGACATAAATTACGAAATAAATTTCAATACGGATATTTTTTGTTCATTGGAGGCTTTTCACTTCTAGCTACCATTTGATAAGCTATAAAATATCAAGAGAAAAAATCAACTTACTTTTTCACAATCCGTAATAAATGAATTTGAATACGTTTCGCAAAATGTCTTCCATGAAAACGTTGAAAGCTCAGCATCTTTGAAATGTTTTTGTAATTTTTGTCAACGAAATGTACAGTGACGCATACATAATGATGTTTTTTAGGTCGTCGCCATAAATCCGTAGTTAATGACACCCAAGGAATATCTTTCAATTTCTTTTGTAATTCGCATAACTTCTCACTATACAAATGCTCCAAAGAACGTTGTACTGTTCTTTCATGCGGTCCAAAATACCCGGGTGGGATCATCGACAGAAAATTAGCCATACCTATGAATTTGAATTTCCATTACAAAAACAATTTCAGGGATTAAAATGGAACATTTTATAGAAAAAAAAACAAATTAAATAATTTTTCTTGTTACGCCACGTAAACAGTGACATATAAAGAGTACATTTAACCAAGTTCATATTTAGCTGACTATCAAATTAGACAAAATGACAAATTACTTTTTATGAAACTCTGACTATCTGAGTACATGAGTTTTATTTCGAAATTTAAGAAAATGAATAGTACTTGTTGATCGCGCTTTAACAAACAACGATGATGCGGAATTAATTTTTGTCCAGATTGACTAGAAAATTGTTTTAGCGTCAATTCTGTTTTAAAGAAAGCAGAAGTTCTCGTTGATGTAATACTTAAAAAACGAAAGCTGTACCTTCGAATATTTTAGAGGTATAGTTTTATGCAAAAGAACTGAAAATCAACTTTCGAATATGGCACAAAAATTTAGGGATGAAACGTATGGGTCAATTTCTAGCGTCACTCTTGCATAAAATTAATTTAAATTATTGAGATGGTTTCTGTTTTTTTTATCAATGAAAACATATAGAGGTTAGACCTAATTACGTCAGACACATCTTGTAGTATAAAAAGGACACATCAGGTATCAAAGATATTTGTATTCTGTATTATATCAACGAGCAGTCTTCTAAGTACCTACTGCGCATACCAGGGAAAATTAGCATGAATTTAAACTCCATAGTAATATATTTTTAATCCACCTTCAATTATCAAAAACGATATTTTATTTATACATGAATTGCCAAAAAAGAAATTTAATCGCTTCAAAATAGAATTTCAAATCCGAATAATTGAAAGTAATTCGATTTTAAAGATTACGGATGGACTTTTCTGCTAATTTACTTAAAATTAAAATTTATGTTAAATAACTTTTGCATGTAATAGTTGTTCTAAAATATCAATGGATTACTCCTACTAAGAATTCTATTGGTAAAATATTACCTTTTTTTCTAAAATCATTGAATGATCGCCCATCAACAACGATTGCTTTAATTGCAGCTGCATGGTAAATAGATTTTCGAACAGCATCAATTTGTCCACCATTCCGTATGGTATGACTTTTCGATTTGATATTAGCAACTCCATGCATTCTTGCCAAATGACGTCTAATATTTGCATTTGTTCCAACACCACAACGAATAACCTATAGTCATATAAAAGACAAAATCAGACGACAGTGAGTAATATCAAATATATTACTTTATTGCAGTGGTTGCATTTATATTCGGTTTTCGACTGTTTCGTTGCGTAAGAATGTACCAAAGATATTTTCTGTCGTTTTATTGGCATTGGCTCATTTGCCTCATCCGGACTTATGTCACTATCCATTTGACGAATACGATCAGTGCGTGTTTCTTGCTTTTTGGATGCTGCTTTACTTCGTTTTCTCTTTCGTTTCAATTCAACTTCTTTCGATACAACAGACGACGTGGCACGATTGGACATATTAAAATCACTGCTTGCGTTCTGGTAGACTTTTCTAATGCGATATTCTGATTATGTGAAAACACTATGGATCTTCTCTCTCTTTGTGGAATAAAAATGATAATATGCTTCTGTGAATATGTATGTAGATTATGAATTAGTATTTAAGTTGATTATCTATACGTGTTTAAGGATGTAAATTATAAATGGCGTACACGGATAGGTCAGAGAGAACCAACTAGAATCACGCAAAGCATCTTATTATACGACAAGAACGTATTAAAAAATTGAAATAGAATGATTGGTAACTAACGACACCAAGTGAAGTCGTGAAGAATGGGATGTTAAGCATATGAAACGAAATGTAGCTAAAAAAGTAGGGTAGGCTCTAGCTAAATTATTCACAAGAAAAAAATAAAGAAACTTATGTGTTGTTGTTTTATATGCTTATAGAAACATGCGCAAAAAATGTGAAGGAGTATCGTCAATAAAACTAGCGTGTGATTTCAATTTGTTCTGTATGCGACTGATGCTATCTATGCATCATGCATTTCTATAATTTGCTGTCTGTGCAGATTCTTATCCGTACTTTTAAAATAGATTCTTGCCTCTAGAATTCAAACCAAGCGAACATTTTTTCTGTGAAACAAACTCGTCTACAAAGAAAATTATGAATAAAATACATCTTCCTTATATAAATTCGATATAATGACGCATTCGGAAGAAGTAAGAAGTTGTTCGTTTCTGCATTATACTGCAAACAATTGACTGAGCTGACATTACATGATGAGCATGAATTCAGATATGCTGTAGTAATAGTTCTAAGGATTAAAATATTAGCTTGATAGATTGTTTCCAAGAAGCTAAAACAGCTTCTCGTGTGAGCTTCACTAGGTATTTATATATGAGTAACATATTCAATTTATATTCGCTGCGACTAGTTGAAGTTATGATTAGACAGCGTTCTGTTCTCAACTTGTTTCGTACATTGATTTAATAAGATATTATTTCGATAATCGATACTCAGCAAAAAATTCCAATGCTCATGTTATGAAACCGTCCTATTCTAACACACAGAAAATGTTTCAGATAACCATTCTGGTTGCGGCAAAACTTGCTTTTTCTTCATGAAACAGGATTCTAAGCATCTTTTGTTACGAACCCAACGCCAGTTATCTTTGAAGAAAATCACTCCACAGCTCGACCTGGACTCCGTCGAACAATTCACTAAGACACTGTTCCTGAAGAGTAACTGATCCGTTGGCAGAGTTCCTGAAAAGTAACTGGTCGAGTGGACACAGTTCCTGGGAAGTAACTATTCCGTGGGCACAGTTCCTGAAGAGGAACTGGCCGAGTGGACACAGTTCCTGAAAAGTAACTATTCCGTGGGCACAGTTTCTGAAAAGTAACTGTTCCGTTCGCAGAGTTTCTGAAAAGTAACTGGTCCGTGGGCACAGTCCCTGAAATGGAACTGGTCGAGTGGACACAGTTCCTGGAAAGTAACTATTCCGTGGGCACAGTTCCTGAAAAGGAACTGATCAAGTGGACAAAGTTCCTGAAAAGTAACTGTTCGGGTGGACACAGTTCCGGGCCAAGATCTGTTCGGGTTGACACAGTTCCGGGCCAAGAACTGTTCGGTTGGACACAGTTCCCGGGTAGGAACTGTTCGGAGGATCTGGTTCCTGCGCAGGAACTGTTTTGGGGATCTGGGTTCCCGGCAGAGAACTTTGTATTCACTACAGTTCCTGGAAAGGAACTGTGTGTTGTATACAGTTCCTCGAAAAGATTCGGTTCAAAGAACCGAGAGCTGTCGTAGGTCTAGTCAGCAATGTGTGGTCTCTCAAGAGTCAGAGTGGTGTGGGTGTGGGTGTGTGTGTGGGTTTGGCTGTGGCTGTGGTTTTGGGTGTGGTTGTAGATGTTGTTGTGGCATCTGGCGGTTTTTTTCAAGTGACACTGTCCTAGCCATACCCACGCGGGGAGGCAAACCCATACTTATTTAAGCATAGATGACAATGGAAAAAAGGATTTCTGGAACCGAGTATTTCTTTGCACACTAATGTGATCTCGCTTAATGTGATTAAGCCTTTTGTTATTGAAAACGATAATTGAAGTATTGTTTACATAAATATTTCTAAAGGCTGTGTGGCATTTTGTATGATAAAGGATTTATCATCTGCATCGTAAAAAACATTAATAGATAGAGTGGTGATTAGAGGTATGACAGTTCAGTTTTAGTTCAAATCCTTAGAACTGTTCAGGCAGTTCCTTAGATGTGATCTGAACTGCTCGAACAGATCAGATCAGATTAGATCATTATAACTGTTTGAACAGATCTTTAGATCTGATCTGAACTGTTCAAGCAGGTCAGATCGGATCCCATAAAAGACGTCTATATCGGTATAGATATCATCCCAGTGTAGATCCTAACAGTTCTTAGATCTGATCTGATCTGTTCGAACAGTTCTTTCGCTCATTTGATCTGAACTTAGATCTGAGAACTGTCACACCCCTAGTAGTGATGCTTGGCTGCTGCTAATCAGCCATGGAACATGATGAGTGCATCTTTTTGCAACGTAAAGTACTGAATCGCACGTCAAGCTATCAAAACTCGTGAAATATTTAACAATAGAGTCTATATTCTTTTAACATTGAAACACCAGCAGATATATTTTAGTAAGATGAGATCGCTTCAATGCATTCACATACGTCTGCGACAACAAAAAAACGCATTAACATTCTGAATGCCTCCCAACGCAATTCTCTTTTTAAACGTATCTGGATGCTTGTTTTAACTGATTTTAGTCGCGTTTTCTCGTATATACACATCTTATGAACTGCGTTTCGATACATCCCTTTTTACTAATTTCCTCAGGAGCCGCGTCTAAATGTGTCCAAAACACACAGAGATGCGTTTTTTCTGCGTTTGAAAATTACATGGATAGTTAGTAAGAATAAAAACTTCTAAATTATTCGAGTCGTTACGTCAGAGCAGAATTACAACAAAAACGAATATGTACGCTATGGCTGTTGTGTATGGTGACTATTTAAATGAGAAAATCATTTTTGAAATAAGTTTTCGGAAAAAAGCACATCTTTAGTCATTATATATTGCTTGATGAGCACAAGGAAAATTAATAAAAGACTTCCTAAACTACAAGCGTTTTCCTAACGAAGTCAACTGTGTGAAATCAATTATAATAGGACGAATTTCTAATATAGTATGCAAGGGAATGAAGTTTAATCAATTTTTCTACTATAATCCATTTTAATTGATGTCCAATGTAATTGCGCCATCTCAATTAGAATTAACTTATATAGGGGTTCCAACTTAAGTATATTTGAATGATTCTGATTCACAGGCAATTGATTGTGAATATTAGGAATCTAAAAAATCATTAAAAAATTAGGGTTTTATGTTCGAATCTCGGGGAAAACACATTTTTCGCGTCTAATGATTAAATTTGATTACAATGTGATAATAGATTAAAATCGATTGCAAGAAAATAATAAATTATAATGGTTTACAGTCTAGAAATTGATTAAATGGATTAAAAGATAATAAGAGATTAATATCTATAAAACACGTAACGATAGATTCAAATCGATGAATCAGCAAAATGGAAATACCTTGAGTACCATATAAGAAATGGATTACCATGGATTTAAGATGATAATATATTACAATTAATAAAAAATATGAGCATAGATTAAGTGAATGAGAATATGTGGATCGATGAATTCCCATCAAGATAGCCATAAGTTAAAATCTATTTTTTTGTGATTATAAATCTGTTTTAATGGCACTGTTATAACCCTAGTTTAATCATTATTTAGATCGAAAAAATTGATGATAATCGATTGCTCAATAATCAATTATAATCGATTTTAAAATAATCGATTATAATCAATTTTTTCGATCTAAATAATGATTAAACTAGGGTTATAACAGTGCCATTAAAATAGATTTACAATCACACGAAAATCAATTATAATCAGATTTTTCGCGATTTATTTTTACATGGGGAGCTGGGCAACTCAACTCAAATAGCTGTCCAATTTGATTCAAGCCATTAAAAAAAATTTCAATTCGATTCAACTCAATTTGTCGATCTCTAAAGAGTTATTCCTACTTAATTCAATTCAATTTGTTTACGTTGAAAACTTTTCTCAGCACAATTCTATTCAATTCATATGGTTTCAAAATTTTGTAGAGTTCAATTCATGCCTGTTGAAAAACATTTTCCGACTCAATTCAACTCAATTCTATTACTGAATTGAATTGAAATCAACGCAGTCTTATTATGAAATTCTATGTAACAAATTTTGTTTTGGTTTATTATTAGTTGAACCCGTGAAAAATATTTTATTGTTGCTCATCATATAAAAATCGATTCATTGTAAACAAGGCGCAACGGGATAGCCAGAAAACTTCAAATCAACTAATAAAAAAACCAAAGTGCTAAATAAAAATAAAAGAAATAGTAGAGAAAAAATTCATGAAGTTTGATAAAAATAATATCCTAAAGCATATATTTAGCATAGACCACGATTACATTTGAGCATTGTTAATTGTTGTACAGTAGTTCGTGTCATTGATGCACGATGTTGACGAAAAAGAAATCCACTCTGACTAAACACACGTTCAACTGGAGCGGAAGTTGCAGGAGTCGACAGAAATTTCATTACTAATTTTGAAAGAGTTGGATAAATCTTCGAAGATTTTAAAAGAACCATGGCATCTGCATTTTCAAGATTCAAGTATTTGAATATCTCATCTTTAATATAGTTGAATGGATCCGACGTACGTTTTTTTGTTTCCTTTACAATGTCGGTAAATAAGTATTTTCGTTTTGGTGTAATTGGGCTTGTTGCTGCACTAGAAGATAATGATTGTGTTTGTGCTATTAGAGTTAATATTGGATTATCATTTTCTGATGTTCCAAGTGGTGCATTAACTCGTTTAATTAAAATACATTGTTCTAATACAAGTTATTGTATTTTGCTAGATAGTTCTTCTTGTACTTAATCCAAAAGAGATGAACTTGATATCCAATTAAGATGAAATTGACCATCTAAAAATGGTGCTACTAAAAAGACAGGATCTTTGAGAAGATCATAAAAATTTTCATCTTTTTTATTTTCTGAAATATCAATTACTAATAACATTTGTTCCAACGTACCACCAAAACGAGATAAAAGTGATTCTAATAAATATTCACATAAACTTGATGCATGTTTAACGTTTGCTCGTTCAAGTAAAAGATCATGATAAATAGCTAAAATTGAAGATGCTACTATTGAAACTGAAGGAGCATGTTGTGCTTGTGTGGTAGTTTTAGCTTCAGCAAAAAGTGTTAATAAAGAAACAAATTCATTTAGCATTTGATAATCTAATGGTTTAATACATAATTCTCGATGTTGTGTTTGTATTAAAATACCATTTAAATCAGACGGTTGAATACCAATTATAGTCACGACCATATCATATTGTGAATTCCAACTAGCTTTATGGGCATTTAGAACACATACTTGAATATTTTCAAAACGTTCTGCTGCTGCTGTTGAAAAATGAGATAACTAGGCTATTTTTGAAATTTTTTCTAATGATGGCTGAACACAAATTGAACCCTTGAAACCATCTTTAATAGCTAATTGAATTGAATGGGCGTAGCATGGCAAGCGAAATGATTCATCATCAATAGCAATTGAATCAATAAGTTGTTTAACAACATCCTGAACATCCAATGGCATATTATTATCAATTTTAACATCATCCGATTCGATTTGTTCACCATCATTGCACCAATCTGAATACAATTCATCATCATCATCACCACGTTGAAAATAACATTTCAAAACCAGGAATAATTAAACCACCAAATGCTGCAATTTTATTTGAAGCGCTATCCGTAATTAATCGTACGAGCTTTTCTCGTATACTAAAACTACTAATACATGCTTCATATCATATGTGTCCAATAATACTGACACTCGATGTTTACCATAAATTGATTGAAAAGACAAAACATATGATTTAAATTCTGAATTAATGATTGAATGTCCTATAAAAGTAAATACCCAGTGCGAACAATCGGATACTAAGATCGAACAAGATACTGCGCCTGATCATATATGATCTTATACGATTCATACCAAATCATACAAAAAGTCGTAGTCTCTGAAATCTTACATCAATTCTTATTGTAAGATTCTTAACAGATCTTGTTGTCTTGCCAGATCTTACTATAAGATTATAGAAAATTTTATGCGACGGTAGGATCTGACAGGAATCTTACAATAAGAATTGATGTAAGATCTCAGAGGCTACGATTTTTTGTCAGATTCTTGTAAGACTTCGCACATATTCCAAGATATTGTATGTATTTCATAAGATCTTGTGTCAGATTCTTCGACCTGGGGAGAGACTACGATTTTTTGTATGATCGTACAAGATCATATAAGATCAGATGCAGAATCTTATCAGATCTTAATATTTAATTGTTTGCCCTGTGACGTCCCTTTATCAGTTGTCGTGCTATATATCTTCTCTCGACATGCTTTTTCAATAAGAAAATATCGTTATTGAATTCTTCTTTAAGCGGCTTATTTTAAACAAATAGAAGACGTTTCTCGACTTTTCTAAACTGCTAACCATACTGTCTGTTAACTTCATCATCGTCCATTACATTATCTAACTGATACAATATCACTTCACCAAAACAAATACCATATCGATATTAACCATACATAAACAGATGAATAGACATTACACCTATGGTTTGCAAGAATCGATATTGGCATCAGTGCATTGAAAACATTAGTAGATAAAACTAATAAACATATCGAACAGATAAAAGAAGAAAATAACGGTAAGATTAAGGAATTTTCAGAGAAATATAAATAAATATGAATAAATAAATATATATTTAAACGGGTAGTAAATCAGCAGCATCAACACAAAAGAATTGTATTACAACTAAAAACTAAATTATAATCATGCACTGACCATTTTCAATTTAATTATATTAATCAATCACACAGCAAAATTTTGCGAGATTTTTTTCAGTTGAATTGAATTGAATTCATCGAGCTTGAAGAAAAATTTTCAACTTTATTCAATTCAATTGAACTCAGAAATTAAGTTGCCTAGCTATGGTAGCTATGGTCTGTAATGGGCAAAGATGACTTTTTTCGTGTAACCAATAATCAAAAGACGAAGAAATAGCAGTCTAATCAGTCAAGTTTCTGATTAGCACAATTTTGAACTCATCAATGTCTGTAATGGGGAAGGGGGTGGGTAGCCACAGAAATCTCGCTTTTAAACTTACACTCACCATTTTTTTCGAAAATATATGTGAGTTCCACGAAACTGATTCATCACACTCTGTATTATGAAGCAATATAGATAATGGATAGAATTATGCTTTATATATCATTTTTTGATATTATTGAAATACAGTACTGAGTTTTAGATTCATGAATAACTATTCGAAGACAGACCTGCAAAAAAGTATTGATTTATCTCTTAAATGTAGGCATATAAGCCAGTTTTTCCTCTCTAAATATATACGCGTAAGAAAAATATGGATGTTGCATGGCATTGTCCCATAGAATTATAATTCGTAGGCTTTCCTGTATACTTTGCGTCCCATAAATGGCTTGACTTGTGTCACACCATATATAACAGCCCAAAAAATACTATCTCATACTGATGAAATCAAGCCTAGTGATAAACGCCAGTTATCAGCATTCACTTTTTGTTTCAGTTTTATCAATCTCAAATTGATTCGATGAGAATTTCACAAAAACAAAAAAACACTATTATAACGCATACCCACATTTTCGTGCAATAGAACCCCAATAAATATTTAGCTGCAGACCATTCCATTTCATTACTGTACCTCACAGAATACATGTCAAAACCCGCCTGTTTTCTTGCGAAATAAAACTAACATAAAGTGCTGCGTTCAATTCTAACACATTTTCGTTTCTGCTATAACTCAGCCGTATTTATGGCTAGAGACTGATTCATTCGCCACCAAATAAATTATCTTAAAAAACTATCTAGATAGAAAAGCTTCAAAATCGCGTGTTTTGGATGAATTACTAGAAAGACAATATTTTCTCAGAGAACATAATTTTAACATGTTTTTTTAGTACTTCGCATTTTTTGACCACGTGATTTTGATTCAAAAATCGGAATAGATAGCAATCGGCGTAGAATTAAATTCTTTACATTTTGAAAAAAACAATTATCTACCAACAAACTATTGTTTAAAAATCTGTATTAAAACTTTGTTTTTCTCGATGGTAACTAAGAGTGTGATTGCAAAATGATTGATACAATCACTCTCAATATCAACTAGTTCAAGACAATGAGTGTGAAAACTAAAATAAATCGTATATTTTTATATGGAAAAAATTCTGTTGCAGCAAGGAATTTTAAGAATTTTCCTTTCTGCTGAGTCATCGCTTTTAGATTTCAACATTATTTTCACCAAAAACCGTCTGAAAATTTTCAAACATGCACCAGAATCGTAGAGAATCAAATGCTCGATAATATGAGATCTTCCTTAATTCTCTATCACAGCCGCAAAATTAGATGTTTGGTATACTTTTAGTGTACTAATATAAATTACAATAAGTCACATGAGAGAAACGTGACATCTATCGATCAAAAAGTTTTTTCTTTTACCTTCCGAACGGTTAAACTTAGAAAGCTGAAAGACGTCTCACATTGTAGAGAATTTAATTCCCTGTGGTGCTCGTGTGTGTTTGAAAATTATAAGGTGGTACTTAGTAAAAACGAAAATTTTAGAATTTAAAACTGATCACTTATCCTAAAGGAAAAACTTTAGAATTCCTTGCTGCCACAGAACTATTTTAAACTAAAATTGCTGGTTCAATAAAAAACGAAATAATAAAAAGTGTCTTGAAATTCTGTACGCTGGGACAAACCCGTTGAGTTCGTAAAACATCAAAAATGCATGTGATGTTGAAATCGTTTTCAGGCTACATGGTCCATAATAAGTTCTATTTATTGTAGAAAAAAGCAGGTTTGAAGCCATAAATACCACTGAGTTATAGCAGAACCAAAAATATTTTAAAATTGATTCCAGCACCTGACATACTTCAAAAGATCTTTTTTTAGCATATGTTTTGACATATAGATAATTTCGATTAACGGTTAAGTCTTATTCACGTTTAAAAATCGTTTTTCTTCTACTACCTCTCGTAACAGATAATAGAAATTCCGTTCCAAGTACATAGCTCAAATAGTTTTTAACAAGGGGGAAATAGCGGACTCCAGGACTCCATTGGACTCCATTGGACTCCAATGGACTTCAAATGGACTCCAGTCTTCTCTGGAGTTCAGCA